AACAATTCAACACATCCACATGGTTGAATCCATAATTATCCACTAATTAAAAATTCAACATATAAATACATTCTTATATAATCTCTAATATTATATGCAAACATATTTCAAATTTCTAGACATTATGGTCGTCTAAACTATTTTAGATAGATAGAACGGATCAATTAAATAATATAATTAGAATTAGAGTCAAATTCTAATTTCAAAATATATTAGGGTGTGATAATTTAATTAAAATCTAATTCTAATTAAATATCAAATTAAAATCTAACTCTAATTATAATTGAATCAACATTTTAATTTAGGATAAAACTCCTAAATAAAATCGAATTCAATATTTAAGTTCAAATTTTAATAAAATTTTAAAATTAGTCGTCAATTTAAAATAAAATTTTAAACGGGTCAAAAGATCAAATTTTAAATCAAAACATTAAAAACCTTTTTGAAATTAATATTCGAAATGCCACTTCTTGAAAATTGCAATCTTTAACCTTACTTTTAAATTAAAAATATAGGTTCTTCAATTTCGAAAATTGCATGACATGTTTATTTTAAAATTGTAGTTTGACCTTATATCATTGCAAGTAGGAACTTCAAAGATTGCACAAGGAGCCCACGCCCCCAAATTCACCCAAATCCTAAAAAAATTAAGTTAGTTCCTCGCAACGACGCCAATTATGGCGACACCACGTCCCACGGCTGGGGCGCACCACAAGAGCGACGACAACATCTAATGCTATCGTTGCAACGATGTCTAACGTTGTTACACACAGCAGCGTATGAGTTGCCACAAGTATTTTCGACCGCAACGAGCACCGCTCGCACTACTTCTAGGAGCAGCGGCACTCGTCGTTGCATATCGCAGTGGTAGGGTGTCATCGTTCATAACTGCGCGTGGTGGCACACGAGCCACCTGTGGCAGCGACGACTTTTGCCGCTACCTATATTGTTCAGATCCAAATTTTTTCTGTCGTAGAAAACGTATTTCTTTAAAAAAACAAATTTTCTAAATTGCTAGATACAAAAAAATAATAATACTAATAATAACAATCAACTTTTGATTGTTTTATCATTCAAAACAATTTCTAACAAGTACAAAGTAGGCTCTAATACCATTACTGAGAAATTTCTTAACATGTATAGCAGAATTTAAACAATATTTTAATTCCCACCAAAGATATACTTTGTGTTTAGAAATAAGTACAATTCTTATCTGCAATCCATAATTGTCATGTTGTCCAACCTTTAATGGAAATCCACATAGGGAAGAGGAATGAGAGAATTAAAGTTTCTATTTTCTTGTGCTAGCAATATAATAAATTGTGTTGTATGTTTTTTTTTTTACCCTAACAACTTATTAATAGAAGTTCAATCGGACTTGGTCCGACACTTGAACTTAACTCGGTCAAATGTTTCTTTAATCTAATTATTAAATTTGATCCATTAATTAATTAATTTGCCAATTAATAAGCAAACCAATTAATTAATTGTCCAATACTAATTAACATATTTCATTCTTCTAGTTCTTCTTTTGTATGCGATCCATTAGATTCTCAATCATTATGTCTAATAACGTGAATTATTATTTTGATCCAATCAAAATCAATAAATTAAATTTCGTTTTAATTTATTAGTAACTGAACGAAATATAGATCACAATCTCTTACTATTTAAGAGTGAAAAATTATCTATTGATCATTCATAACCTTCATATGATTTTTTATGTGCCTGAACAATATTGTATTAGCGACTTTTGACAGATCAACATTCAACGTCACCAAAGCGTGACTGTTTCCATATAAAGCATTATGATGACCTCAAATTAAATGATCAATTCCACTATCGAACTTAAAAATTAACCAGTGACACTGAGATAATTATCCATGTGAAATGTCTCCATCGGGTCTCCAATATTTTGTTAATCACGTGTCAATTTTAAATGTCACTATATTTTAACTTGTGAGATTAGTTACTCACTTCAAAAGTGAGAAATACTACACGTGATGATCTATCCGTAATAACGATATTCGTATCTTGTTGTTACTTATGACCATGGATAATTTAAAATCCGACTTACCAAAGAAGCCTCTATTGTTTGAGGAAGCTGAACAATACGTGTTTCACAATCATAATGAATGTCGATTTCTGATGTAATCATGCTTCAAAGAAGTGACAACAGATCTGAACAAAAACTAAATCAATTGAATATTAATTCTTCCTAAAACTTGTTGAACCAGTTATTGGACTAAAACAGCAGCATAGCACAGACGTTCCGAATCAGAACATGAATCAGTAAACTGAAATCTAACAGGACCTAATCGAAACAACAATCTGTAAGCTTAAATCCAACAGGACCACTCACCTCTACTACTATGGACATTATCTAACTAATGTTTTCTTTACAATTGGTAAACACAAACTCAATAAGCAAGGGAAAAAACAAGTCGACTCTTCGCTGCTGATCATATCTAAATCTTCGAGTAAAGAATGAGATTAGTAGTTCAGAAACTTGTGAGCTTGTAGTAACAGTTGCTTCCACGAAGAAGAATCTGATAGCCTTTGCCACAGGGGCACCTGAAATGAAGAACCAAGAACTCCCCCTTCCTCTCTACCCACACAGCTTCCTCTGCAGGTTCTTCAATTTCAGTCTCGGATTCATCCTGCAACAATTAAACATACAAATCTCCATTAACAGGAAAGTAAATGGCCAAAATATCAAATGACAACTCTAATGAGAACTTGAATTTGAGAATGATTGCTAATGTGCAAAATGATACACAATAATCCCGACAGAATCCAGAAGCATAAATTGAAGAACATAATCGAACAAGAAATCATATGACATTGTAAAGATTCGAACTTAAGAAAATAAGCAACGTACTTGTGAATGCAGACACATAAATCGGATTCAAATTCACGAAATGAATTATTTGGGAAGAATATACCTGTAATGATTGCTTTACATGCAAAACAACACATAATAATTAATATCGACAAACTGTAGACACATAAATTCAATTTGGGTTTAATAAAGATTGATCCAAGAACATAATTCAACAAGAAATCATATCTAACAACGTAAAGAGTCACCGCAGCATGAACTTAAAGATCCCAACTTAAAACATAAGCCAAATACTCATATAGACAGACACAAAATCGGATTCAAATTCGTGAAATGAATCCTTTTGACAAATACACCAAGAAACATCCAACAAATTGCAAGATTAACGTCAAACAGGCATAAAACACAGAGAATATGAATTAAAACGAATAACTGAAAATAATTGAGACCTTGAGATTGTTTTTAGTATTGTTATCTTCAGAGCCACTGTCTTCGTGTTTGCCCTCTTCACTTTCGTGCAGGACTTGATTCCACCACTGGTTCATCTCTTTCAGCCTCTCCCTCATTTTGTTAAGCCTCTGAAAAATTAACACAGACCATTAACAGTCTTTTCATGGCAATGAAAGTCAATTAAATTTCACAATCAAAACAGGAATTAAGATATATATAACAAAAATTGCAGTGAAGAACAAATTGACCTTGGTATTAGGACTTTCCCTTCTGCATGGGGACCGAGAATACTTTCTAGCAGCTGGTGGCCGTGGAGGCGTGGTGGTGGTCACTGGCTCGTAATTGACAGCAGGAGTAGGATCAGACATTGTCCGGTAGAGACATGCCGGGACATGTGGCGGTGCCCCCACTAGAGGTGGCGCAGTTTCTTGAACTGCATTTGACTTGGAGCCCTCTTCTAGTTGTGGGTTCAAGATGGAGTCCTGACCAGCGGAAAATCCTGAGAATTGTGCAGCATTCATGCCGTCAGAAGTGTATATCGGCTCAGATACAGTATGGTGAATAAGGGATGGTAAAGGGTTTGGAAGTGGGAGTTTAGTGAAGCCGGGGAAATGATGGTTAGTGGAGGCGGAGTGGAGAGTGGCCCTTTTGGGAGAAGGTTCTTGTAAGGACGGTGGTGGCTGTCTTTTGGTGGAGCCGCCGCAACAATTGGTGCATTTTTCGATTAAGCCACCACCAGAGGTGGTCTTGGAGGGAATGCCGGTGGTGGAGCAATGGAGAGGGGCGTGGGCGTCCGGAGAGAGGTGGAGCAAGGAGAGACGATCTGTGGCGCCGGATTCAAATCCACCATCCTGTTCTTGGATTTCGTGGAGGAAATCTTGTTCATCAATCATTTTTTCTTCAATCTTTGAAACTGTAGTAACTGTTTTCCGGAGGCGAGTGTGAAATTGGAATAGAGGGTATGTACTTTTATAGGAAATTTTGTCACGTCACGTGGTTTTCCGAAATGACAAAAAAGGGCTTGTCACGTGCCTGGTTTCAGCCGCTTTTTGGTCATTTGACCTTAAAATAGTTAACAACAAGAGTTTCTATTTAAATTTTAATTCTCAGTATATTTAAATATATAATCTTGTAATGTCCATGAAAAAAATATTAATTTATTTGTTGGATAACATGTTGGAATGAAAAATAAATAATATTGCAATGGTGTGATATTTAGATGGATTTCGTTGATATGATATTTTAATTATCATTTTAAATGTAGGATTTAATATGACAAATCAAATAATACCACATCGTTAATGACCAGTACACACCACTTAATGAAAAACAATATTCATGAAAAGGGGGCAATGGTCATATCAATATCCAAATGAGCAAGTGTAAGAATGTGTCACATTATATATGGGAGTGCATAATGATTTAAATTGTTTTAATGTGTTGGATGCCATCCAGAGTAATCAATTCATGCGCATAAAGAAGTGGTTATCAATTGCATTGCAAAATTGGTAGCCTCTTTCAGACGTCTAACTCACTCTTTGATTCATTCGAATCAGCTAAGCTCTATGCCAATTTATTTGTTTTGTATGGTCAGACAGTACCATAATAAGCATTGTGAATATAGTTGCATCTAAGAAAAATGTTAATTTACATGCACCAAGAAAAATATCATTTTCCGTCCAACAGTTCGACTGTCACCACCTCCCTTCCCTCCTAACCTCATTGTTTTGGGAGTCATAGGCTCTACGTTTAAGGGAAGTAGCGGTGGGATAGGTGGTGGTGCGTTTGCCAAAAGAAGAGGTTTAAGAATAGAAGCTTTAGAAATGGCAAAAGTATAGAATAAAATCATTTAGTTGATCAAATGATGCCATTACAATTTACAAGTTTACAACACCTATCTAAGTATCTAACCAGCTCGTGTGCTTCACCGATTCTACCAAAACATATTACAGATGATAGAACACATCTTGCAGTGGCAAAAAGTCAACTAAAGATGCAGTTTTTGCGATGAATATTCCTCAAGTTTGTAAACAAATGCTTCGGAAACATAAATTACATTTCTAACATTGATTTTAATTGACATTGTAACACTATCTAGGGAAGCAAGAATTGACTCCCTCTGCTATAACTTCCCAGTCTCTAGGAACTGAGCTGATTTTACTCTTTCTTCATTTCATCCCAAGTTAGGAGCGACATTGCTTAAGATTATTCATTGATTCTTCTTGTTTCAACGAAGAAGAAGAAAATTCTAACTTATCTGAACAGAAGTTGGCCAAAAATTAGCCAAGAACAGCATAACATTCACTGAATACCCAGGAAAGAAAATCATGAATAAGTGGAGCAACTTGAACAAAAATTGCTGCAGCCACTGCAATTTAACCTGTACGCAATCATATTCTACTACAAGGCTTACATTAACTATTCATTTTCCCTATACATTACTTTGCATCTTTCTAAAGATTGTAGATGGTGATCATGGAGTTATCTAACCAATGGCACGTTTTCTAATAAGAGATCAGAAGTGCCAAAATTACGATGCTTTCCATCGGCTACATTGATCAAGTGGAAGCCCTTACCAGGAAGCTGGTTGATCAGAAGAGTTTCTAATTGGCAAGCGATGCTCTTCCCAGGTACCAGAAAATAGAGGAATGAGGCATTCTGCATTCCTTCCTTCAAGCGATGTGCACGGATTCGACCCTCAAGATCATCAGTCTGAAGTTAAAAGTTAAATGAAAGTCACAAGTTTACATGAAATGGAGGAAGAAAACGTCATATTTTTTATTAACAAATTTAACATTAAAAATTGAAAAATTAATCGTAAGATAAGTGAGAGATAAATACCTCTCCAACATAGAGATTTTTGTCAGGTCTAAGAATCAAGTACACAGTTGAATTGCCAATGACTGATGGAGGCGGTTGTTCCCGGGCAGCAACTAGAACACATTTCATTGCTGAAAGCTCTAATGCATTCTTCCTTCGGTAAAGCTCAATTAGCCATTTCTGACAGATGCTAATGACAGCATTCTCCACTTCCATGTGCAATTTTTCCACAGGGTTCAATGACTCAGTCAGGGGTCCCACAGCTTCTTCTGCATCATCACTTTGTTTTTCAGTAGCTTTATCAGATACATGAACATCTGCAGGAGCAGTCAAGTGCTTTATTTTTGGCTGATATGTTCTTAATGGATCTTTTGCATAAACTGAATGATACAATTCCTCGGCTCTTTGAATTACTGGTTTAGGAATCCCTTCTCTCTGAGCTGTTTCAAATGCCAGGCTCTCTTTACAAATCCCGTCAATCAATTTCCATGTTGGTATTGTTTGACCATCCATACATTCTGTTCCCATAGCTTTATAAACAGCATTCTTAGTTCGCAATGGCAAATCAAAAATCCCATGCAAGTGTGTTGACACAATACCCAAGCAACCCATTGCATCAAGAGTTTCTATTACACTACCAGCAATACATGTCCCTTTTGCTGTTTCTGTCCCTCTGCAAATTTCATCTATAAGCACAAGACTGTTTGAAGAAGCTCCCATTATAATAGAGCGAATCTCTGACATTTCAATCTGAAATATCAATATGAAGATAAAGATGAGAAAATAGCAAATTTTCCATAATGGTACATTATAAAGTAAACAAAGTGACTCTATCTGTCAATCAAAAGTTTTTTTTGATAAGTAATCAGAGAATATATTAATTTATCACTATCTGTCAATCAAATGTGGATTATTGACATCAACATCAACTATCTATTTACCATCATCGAGGAACAAGAAGCACCGCTACCTCGACAAACAGGTATTTGACTGCAGCCCCGTCTCAGCCTCATTTTTTGTGAAATCTAGATGGTAGCATTTAGCATGCCTATACCCTCCGTCTCTTGTGCACACCAAATTCAGAACAAAATAAAAGATGTACAACCAAAAACCAAAAGAAAATCAATTTATTATGAATATTTAATTTTTACATTTGATCAATTAATTATGAATACTTAATTTTTAAATTTGATTATTATATTCCCCACCAAAGCAATTAGGCTTGACATTGCAACTGTGACAACATTGTGTTCTTCCTAATGGTTGTAACACTACTACTATATTGAAAAGGCATACTGTTCGACCAAACAAAAGAATGCAAACTATCATGGTTAAACTGCCCAATATGTAATTAGGTAATTAGCAACGTGTTACAAAAATCAGGGCCCAACAGGGTTCAGCAGCTAACATCTTATGCTCCAAAAGATACATGCAAGTCATGTAGAATTGTATTTTGTGTACACATATAGTGTCCTTATGCGCAAATGTGATTCTCTCTGCTTGTATTGCAGTATATATTGTAAAAAAAATAATAATAATAAATTAAAATCTTTGGTATTTATAATATAAAGCAACCTGAAATGAACTCTTTCCATCAGCAGGGCTATCATAAGATTTCATGTGCAACATAATGGAATCAAAATGAGGAATAATAGCTGACTCTGCAGGCACCATGAATCCGCATATTCCAAGTAACGCTGCAGCACAAATTGATCGCAGCAAGCTTGATTTCCCACCTCCATTTGGCCCCGTCAAGAGAAATAGTGATTTCATATCAACTGTGTTCTGTATTGCAGCAACATGTGCTGCATCAAACCAGTAAGGAGATAGCCCTGTTATCTTCATCCCATCAGCATCTTTATCCTGCAATGTTCGACGTTCATCCTTTCAGATTTGACTGTACAGAAATAAAGTGAACAATTACAGTCCAGGATCATATGGCCTTTATATTTCTGAGTAACCCTTCAACATCTTCATCACACAAGAAACTGACACAGGACACCCTTGGGAGTTTATAGCTTTAAAGAAATTGATAGTGGGTATTGATGGGTGAAATCCACCACACGTAATATACCCAATTTCTAATATCAAAGGTCCAGCAGCAAACTCCGCAAATATCATACACAACCACAATTCTTTTCTACATGAACTATAGAGCTCTACAGCCTATATTAAGCCTCATTCGTCATGAAGCTCATGTATGAAAGGTCAAAAATACAAAAGGATTATTGATACCCAAGGAGTATCTACAATGCTATTTTGATCTAGATCTTTTACATTCATTGTTTCTTCATAAGTATCTTGGAGGATTTAAGCCGATTAAAGATGATGTTATAAGTCTGAATCCAATAGCCAGGATTGAGAAATTTGAGGGATTACCTCCTAAAAAAAGGTTTTCCAAGAACTATGCAAGACAAGGTTGTGATTTAGCTTTAATATTTTCAACAATTTGTATCCATGGAACACAAAATCCAAAAAGAACATACAACCTTAATAGAAATCAGTTCCAAGTAAAATATATACCAGTTAAATCGTAAATTAGTAATTGGTGCTTTCGTAAACTACCTTAAATCTGTGACATCGATTGAGAGTTGGGAAAACCCATTTTCTTCTCCTCCCTTCACTGGATAAAAAACAAAGTGCACATTTCAGGAATTTATTTCAGATCAGGAGGAAGTAATTAAAAAGATTAAAAAACAAAGATCAGAAGTACAAGGAAGCCCTTGTCCTTGGCATATAGAATTTGTGAATTTCTGTTGCAGAAAGTCATTCTTGAAGATCTTAAAATCATGTGGCAAGTACTAATAGAACTCTACATAAATCACGAGTCTACTATTCTCATAATCTAGTTCAGCGTAACCAGACTAAGGATGTGGACATGCATAGACATTTAAAGAACATAAGTTGACTGATATGCACTCAAACATCCACTAACCATCTTATCTTATGGATAGGTCGAATATCTGGTTTAGAGGGATTAAAAGATGTTAAAGTAAAAGAATTAGAAGGCTTAACAATTGTGTTAGCCTGTCCCACTATTTATAATAAGAGTTAGGAAAACCTTAGGAAACCCTA